TTCTAGTTCCCTGCTATTTAGTAGTATCAAAGTCGCGTTTTCGGAATCATTCCTTACACAAAGACCTAAAACACCAAATACAAAATTATCACTTAATATTCCTTGTGAAATACAGTACAATAAATGAGGAGAGGAATACCATCATAAAATTGACCAGACCGGGATGGCTCACTTCGAGAGGATGTCGACTGACTCTTTAAGATGCTGGAGAGACTCATCTCTGCCCAGTATGCTTGGGAGTAAAGGAGGGAGCTATCTAACCCTCCCTCGCTGCCACAATTTGAGCCACCTTTATAGCAGAAAGATCCAGAGCCACCCCTGTACGACCCTGCTCCTCCATCGTACTATCCAGCACTACCACAGTACAATCTGGTGCTTCCATCGCATCATTTGGTACCACCACAGTACAACCTCGTGCCTCCACCATATCATCCGGCACCGCGACAGGGCCACCCGGTCCCTCCCCAACACAATCCAATTCCTCTTCCACAGGACCAAATTCTACCCATGATGGACTTATGTTACGTTGAGAGGTATAAAAAACTAAATTCATCTAGCTTTGCAAGAGCATCCTCTTTCGAAGAGGTCGAGTTTTTGTTAACTGACACATAGAAGACTTTCGCGACTCTTGGGGTGGTTCCCAAATATAAAGTTATACTTGCCACCTACATGCTTGTGGGAGAAGCTGGCCGCTGGTGGCAACTCAAGCAGGCTACCCTGCCCATTCCAATTACTTGGGAATAGTTTCAGATGGCCTTCAATGCAAAGTACCTCCCAGAACATCTTTAATATTTGAAGGAGATGGAGTTTCCACACCTTGTCCAGAGTGAGATGACTGTGTTGAAGTATGCCTGAAGGTTCCTAGAGTTAGACTGGTATTCTCCTAAAAGCATGATGAATGAAGGCAAGAAAATAAGGAAGTTCGAGTGGGGCCTCCACCCTGAGATCAAATAGTAGCTGTACGTATTTGAGCTAAGTACTTACTCAGCCGTTCTGGCTAAAGCACAGATAGTGGAGAGGAATCTTCGCATCTTTCTTCCAACAATGGGGAATCCCAGACCCCTAATTTCACATCGTAGACTAGCACCTATTACACTGGCTCAGCATAACAAGAGGCTTAGGCCAGTGACTCAAGCTCCTTCTTAGACTCTACTAATAGGACGCGGTAGGACTTGTTAGTACTGTGGTAAAGATCATGGGGACTGACCCTGGTATCATCTCAATAATACTTGCTACATATGTGGGAGTACCCAATACTACACGAAAGAGTGCCCGCAGAACCAGAATCAGACCAGAGCTCCTATCTAGGGTATAGCTTATAACCTTACTCAACAGGATGTTGTAGCCAATTCAGATATGATACAGGGTACGTACACTATCTGTAATCACTTTACACATGTTTTGATTGATACTGGTGCTTCACATTCGTTTGTCTTACATACTTTTACACAAAACTTAAATGTATCACCGGAAAAACTTATTTCTATGTTGTTTGTGTCTA